CCTCCCCTCATCCCTGCACCTACTGCTGAGCCTGCCTCACTCTAGCCTGGTCCCCCCATCCACAGTCCCTGCACCTCCGCACTCCCTGGGGCAGTGCCCCAAACCCTGGTTACTGTGTCCCGCATGCCCTCGCGTTCTTCACACTCCCACAGCAGGGCATCCCCACATCCCTGACACACACCCCAGCCTGACACACATCCCCTGCACGCCATGGGGGGGTGGGTAGTAGACCATTTCAGCCTTGCTCCTTCTATCTCCCTCCCTTTTAAAAATATTGCTTTATTGAGGTGTAATTCACATATCATACAATTCACCCATATAAAGTCTGGGGTTTAGCGCATTCGCAGAGATCTGCAACTAGCGACACATCACTGTAGAACATTTCATCGTCTGGAAAAGAAGCCCCATACTCATTAGCAGTCAGTCCCCATTTCTCCTCAAGCGATCCTCCCAGCTCTAGCCAACTATTGATTTGGTCTCTGTCCCTATAAAGTTGCTTATTCTAGACCTTTCCTAGAAAGAGAATCAAACACATGTGGTCTTTTGTGACTGGCTCCTTTTCCTTAGTATAATGTTTTCGAGGTTCATCCATGTTGCAGGATGTACTAGTACTTTATTTATTTAAAAGTACATATATATGCGTATAATAAATACATGTTATATGTATTATAAATAGACTTTAGAGCAGTTTTCGGTTCACAGCAAAGCTGAGCAGAAGATGGAGAGATTTCTTGTATATCCCCTACCTCCACACATGCATGGCCTTATTATCAACACGCTCCACTAAATTAAATATTTAAAACAATTGATGATCCTACAATGATACCCAAAGTCCACAGTTTCACTCTGCGTGTTGTACATTGTATGGCTTTGGACAAATGTATACTGACATGTACAGTCATTATGTTATCATGCAGAGTAGTTGCATTGTCCTAAAAGTCCTCTGTGCTCTGCCTGTTCTCTCTCCAAACCTCCCAACCCCTGGTAACCACTGATCTCTTTACTGTCTTTATAGTTTCCAGAATGCCATCTATCTGGATGCATACAGTATGTGGTCTTTTCAGACTGGCTTCTTTCACTAGTAATTTCATTAGTAATCTGAAATCTACTAATGAATGTACTGAGTCTACTAAATCTTTCATTAGTAATGTGAATTTAAGTTTCCTGAATGTTTTTTTTCATGACTCATGTGTCTTTTCATGGCTTGGTAGCTCATTTACTTTTAGCACTGAATAATATCCCATTATTTGGATGTACCATAGTTTATTTATCCATTCACCTACCGAAGGACATCTTCAGGTTTTTCAAGGTTACTTCCAAGCTCTGGCAATAGTGGATAAAGCTGTAAAAAACATCCGTGTGCAGGTTTTTGTGCGGACATAAGTTTTAAGCTCCTTTGGATAAATACCAAGGAGTATGATTGCTGGATTGTATGTTAAGAGTATGTTTAGTTTTATAAGACACCGTCAAACTGTCTTCAAAAGTACCTGCACCATTTTGCATCCCCGCCAGCAATGAATGAGAGTTCCTGTGTCTCCACATGTTTGCCAACATTTGGTATTGATAGTGTTCCAGATTTTGGCCTTTAAATATGTGTGTATTGGTATCTTACTGTTGTTTTAATTTGCAAACCCCTGCTGACAAATGATGTGGAAAATCTTTTCACATGCTTATTTGCCACCCATATATCTTTTTTGGTGAGGTGTCTGTTAAGGTCTTGGCTCATTTTTTAAATTGGGTTGTTTATTTTCTTATTAAGATATGACAATTTTGCACTTGATCTTAGCCAAAAGGCCGAGAAGTGATAAGCTTTGACAATTTTGGATGATAATCCTTTATCACATGTGTCTCTTGCAAATGTTTTCTCCCAGTCTGTGGTTTATCTCTCATTCTCTTGACATTGTCTTTCAAAGAGCAAAGTTTTAAATTATTATGAAGTCCAGCTCATCAATTATTACTTCCATGGATTGTGCTTTTGGCATTGTATCTAAAGAGTCATTGCCCCACCCAAGATCACCTAGATCTTCTAGATTATTATCTAGGAGTTTTTTTCAATTTGCATTTTACATTTAGGTCTGTGATCCATCTTGAGTTTTTGTGAAGGATGTAAGGTGGATGTTTAGATTTAGTTTTTTGCATGTGGATATCCAATTGTTCCGGCACCATTTGTTGAAAGACTGTCATTTCTCCATTGTATTGACTTTGCTCCTTTATCAAAGAGCAGTTGATTTTATTTATGTGGATCTATTTCTAGACTTTCTATTCTGTTCCACTGATCTATTTCTCTATTCTTTCACTAATACTACACTGTCTTGATCACTATATCTTTATAGTAAGTCTTGAAGTTGTGTGGTGTCAGTATTTTGTTCTTCTCCTGGATCTTTTGCCTCTCCATGCAAACTTTATAATCACTTTGTCGATATCCGCAAAATAACTTGCTGGGATTTTCATTGGGATTACATTGAATCCATAGATCAAGTTGGGAAGAACGGACATCTTGGCAATATTGAGTCTTCTTATCCATGAACATGGACTATATCTCCATTTATTTAATTCTTTGATTTTGTTCATCAGAGTTTTGTAGTTTTCCTCATATAGCTCTTATACATATTTTGTTAGATATATGCCTAAATATTTAATTTTGTGTGGTACAAATGTAAATAATACCGTTTTTAATTTAAAATTCCGCTTGTTTGGGACACCTGGATGGCTCAGTCAGTTAAGCGTCTGCCTTCAGCTCAGGTCATGATCCCAGGGTCCTGGGGTGGAGCCTCGCATTGGGATCCCTGCTTAGCGGGGAGTCTGCTTCTCCCTCTGCCCCTCCCCCTGCTCATGTTCCCTTTCTTTCTCTCTGTCTCTCAAATAAATAAATAAAATCTTTTAAAAAGATAAAATTCCACTTGTTCATTTCTGGCTTAGCAAAAAGTGATTGATTTTTGTATTTTATATTAACCTTGTATTCTGCAGTCTTGCCAAAACTGCTATTAGTTCCAGGAGTTTTTGTTGATTCCTTTGGATTTTCTACATAGGTGCTAATGTCATCTGTGCATTAAGACAGGTTTGTTTCTTCCTTCCCGATCTTAAACCTCTTATATCCTTTTCTTGTCTTATTGCATGAGCTGGAAGTTCCAGTACAATGTTGAAAAAGAGTGGTGAGAGGGAAAGTCTTTGCCTGTACCTGATCTTAGTGGAAAGACTGAGCTTCTCATCATTAAGTATGATGTTAACTGTAGGTTTTTTGTAGATAGTCTTTGGCAAACTGAGAAGTTCCCCTCTATTTCTAATTCGCTGAGAGTTATCATAAATGGCTATTGGATTTTGTCAAATGCTTTTTCTGCACCTATTGATATAGTCATGTGATTTTTCTTTTTTAGCTTACTGATGTGATGAATTACATTAATTCATCATCAACATTAATTCATTACTCAAAATCAATAATTGATTTTTGAGTAATGAAGTAGCCTTGCATACCTGGGATAAATCCCGCTTGGTGATGATGTATAATTCTTTCTATACATTGTCGGATTTAATTTGCTGATATTTGTTGAGGATTTTTACATCTATGTTCATGAGAGATATTGGTCTGTGGTTTTCTTTTCTTATAAATGTCTTTATCTGGTTTTGGTGTTAGGGTAATGCTAGCCTCACAGAATGAGTTAGGAAGTAGTCCCTCTGCTTCTATCCTCTAAAAGAGATTGTAGAGAATTGGTATAATTTTTTCCATAAAGGTTTGGTAGAATTCACCAGTGAACACATCTGGGTCTGGAGCTTTCTGTTTTGGAAGGTAATTAGTTACTATTTCAATTTCTTCATAAACACCTATCCAGAGTGTCTATTTTTTCTTGTGTGACTTTTGCCAAATTGTGTCTTTCAAGGAATTAGTCCATTTCATTTCAAATTTGAAATTAGTCCATTTCATTTCAGGTGATTAAATTTGTGGAAATAGAATTATTCATAATATTCCTTGACTATCTTTTTAATGTCCATAGAATCTTTCATTTCTGATATTAGTATTATGTTATCTCTTTTTTTTTCTTAGTTAGCCTGGCTAGAGGCTTATCAATTTTACTGATTTTTAAAAAGAATTTATTTATTTAT